CCAGTTGCCCAGTGCTGTGATCCCATGTCCTAAGCACCTTTCTGATGTGCTGCTTCTCTTGGGGGCATCTCTTCTGAGCAATGAAGCAGTTTTCTACCTGGTCTCCCTGCCTCCATCCTTGTTCCCTCCCATCCGTTTCCAACTCTACAGTCAGAATGATTTTTCCAAGCACAGATAGGATCATGCGACTTAGCCAGCAGGAAGATCTTTAGGACTCTACGTTCCTCTTCACAGGGCCAGAGAGACTGAGTCACGTCCTGTCCATTCTCTCTTCATCTCCCACCCCTGCTCTTTTGCACCCTGTGCTCTGGGTCCATGGAACTGCTCCAGCTTCCCTGTCAGTCCATGCACTTCCTCTCCTTGAGGGCTTTGCAGTGCTCTCTCCTCCCCCCAACCTCTCTCTCCCCCTCACCACTGCTACTCACCTTCAGGCCACGAATTCCTCAGGTTTGGTTCCTCCTAGGTGTCAAATCATGGTGTTATTTCACTGAATGGTAATTCTCCCTTTACTTGTCTGTAACCCTTAATTTACTAAATAAAAGCAGAGTAAAGGAAAAAGTTGTGTTTACCTTCATCCTTATGGTTTCTATAGTGCTAAACCCAATGCCAACCACACAGCAGATGCTGCAAGAATGTTTGTCATCTGAATACATTTGTTTGGTGGCATCCTTATGTAGGGTACCTTTTAGCTATAATATCCTAAAGTCCCATGAACTGGGATCTCAGAGACCCTGTGTTTTTAGTTCCTGCAAACTAAGAGATATAAGACCTCCCACCATCCCCAAATTCACCTTTCTTAATCTCCCATTCCCAACCCAAACATTAGCATTTAGCAGATTCTTGTGTCCATCAGAACTAATAGAAATAATTATCATGATCTGCACTGAAACAGCTGGGGTCGGGATGCATTGCCTGGAAATCGGATGAGCGTCAGTACAGTGGGAGTAGCAAGGGGGCCGAGGGACGTGGCAGAGCGAGGGCTGCGTACTTGCTGTCACGAGGGGGGTGGCGTTGCGCAAGTCCTTTGGTCTCTGGACCTCAAATTTGTGAATTCCTAATTGAAGAGGTTGGACCAGATAATAATAAAGGTCCCTTTTGACTTGAAAAGGTAGAATTTTAGAATTCCAGTGTTCACTCTTCCACTCATCACCTAGGCCATTACTGAGTGGAACAAGGAGACATGTATCACAGGAGTGAAAGGAACTGCTGGGATCAATTATGCCAGGACAATGGGTGGACACCGGGGACTACTCCAGGTTCACCAGGATGTGCAGTCACCCTTGTTTAATTCAGTCTTTGTTGGCTGGGCTTCAGGCTTTCGGTTATTACTTGTGGTAGCAGATAGAAGGCTATTTGGAATTTGCGGTCAGACATCTGATACAGGATTTCAAGGAGACAGCACACATGGGTTCCTAGAGCAGTTAACCTGTGCCACCATCATGCAGGTGGCACACATGGTCCCCTACCTGCTCCTAAACTAAAAGCCTGTGCCCAGTCCATATACCTCCCCAACCCCCAGACACAGTGTTCCATGATTAGCCAGTGAGAAAAATGCTTTAAGTCCCCTTGGGCTCAAGTGCACAGACTGGCAGAGAAAGAGAAGGGCTCCCCAACTGAACCGCTCTTAGAGTTTTGAACTTGCATTCCGCTGTAAGAAGAATCACTTATGAACACACTACACAATTCGCAAAGCCATTTGGAAGCTCTTGGTTCTAACGCTCCTTTTAAAGTTCGGAATATTCTTGCTTCAGAAATGTAACCCTAGACCAAAGCCAACAGTCATCATCAGCTTTGCTGGCTTATAGACTGGTGTCACTTCTTCAAGTATCTCTGGACACTTAGTATTTCCAGGCACATCTGGGGATACCCCTGGAGAGCATAAGAAGAGACACACCTGAAATTTCAGGTTTTCCTATAAGAAGGTTAAAAAATAGCCTGCTGCTGCCCAGGACCAGTGGCTCAGGCTGATGGTGTAGAGTGGACAGGAAGAGGGTAGTGGCTATCTCTAGACCCTCAGTAATTCCCTCAAGTGGCTGCTGAAAACTTCCTTGCTCCTCTACGTCATATCACATGGAGTGACCAGAGCCGACCTGACATCAAAGCTCTGTAAAAATGCCGTGGCTAAGAGATCACTAGAGTCTGAATGGCAGGGATGAGAGATTAGAGATAGGACTGCAAACTCCAACACTTTGGGGACTGTGTAGCACATCACAAGACCTGGTCATTGTTCATTTCCCTGCGTCACTAAGGGCAGATAACTATTACTATCATTACTCTGGACGTCAGCACATTGAGATACCCCAGGCATCGAAAGAAACGGGCTTTCCCGGGACAGAATGTTTACCAGGAAAATGGAAAAAGAGAAAACTAGGACATTGAGTAAAGCAGAAAAAGGCACTGCCCAGAGGGCAGAGAGGTCAGAGCCACCTTATCCCCCAGTTTGGGGTTCTAAATTTTCAATAAATGCTTTTTCCTTTCAACTTTGAGCTTTTTAAAATTTTCACCAATTGACCAACACCTGCTTTTTAAAAAATCAGACTCCTTAAATCTCTGCCTCTTTGCAAAAGTCATCAGGAGAGTGCTTTTCTCTATTTGCTGTTATGTGATGGTTGTCACAACATGGAGGGACCCCACAGAGCAGTGAACAGCCAGCAGCATGCTGAGCCCGTGTGCCCATAGAAGGGCAAAAGCTAAGGCCTTGAAGCAGTGGCCAGGTGGGTCAAGGATCCCTCTATCTGACCTAGAGAAGGGCCTCTGTACAACTAGAACAACATCACAAATCACCTTCCAGAGCAGCCACTGGGGAAAAGCAGAGCTGGAAAATGGTTGTGGAGGTGGAAACGCTTCTTGCTGAAAGAAGCCTTTGTCTTTGTCACATATGTGATGCATGAAGTGTACCTCTTAGTAACGAGGGCTGTGGCTCCCACAGATGGTGAGCCACCAGCCAGCCTCATCAGAGGGGACCTTTCCAAGTTCCATGGGGCAACATGGCATAATGGAAAGAAAAGGGCTTAGAAGTCGGATGGTTCTACAAACCTGATGACCTCTTGTACTCTCTTCCATTGTAGGCTCTAGAATAAAATGAGCTTCATGCCAAGTAAATGTGGAATGTAGATAGATATCTACACAGGGATCACAAACTCGAATTCTTCAGAGACGAGGCAGGGATGTCAATGGGTGGGCTGACCTTTTAGACAAAACAGGAGACTTGAGTTCATCTGGGTGGAGCTTACACTGAGTACCCACGAGTGGGAGCTATAAAGGAGTGCCAGCATCCAAAGATCACCCCATCACCCTACTGCAGTACATTACTCACTTGGGCTGCAAAGGTGGAGTCCAACACTGCAGGCCAAACTGAACATCTCCATGGTGTGAAATCAGTCTGTGTGCAAACTCTAGTTTTCATTATCTGCCTCATTTTACCCAAAGCACAAATCACAATCCTCCTTTTTTTTTCTTTTAGGTTAAAATAGTTTCATTTCATTATACTAGAAAGCTCTGGCGTTTTTGTGTTTTGGGGGGTTGTTTGTTTTTTGGCTTGGGTGCTATACCTTGCTCCAAAGCTGTAGCAGTGGAGAGTCAGACTAGACTTGGCCACTATTTTTATCCCAACACCTCCTGAAATTCTGTCAGATCTGTAGATTTTGACCACTACCTTCTCTTTCCTGTCTCCTTCTATCTTCACCCTACCCCATCCTCCCAACGCCTGAAAGTATTTTTGAAGATACAGTCTCCCCCCAAGTCCCACCACCACAGCTTCAGTATGGTGGTCCCAGCAGTATCATTACATCTCCAAAGCCCAGTTGTCTGGGAGTTCCCCACCTAAACTCTAACTTCTAATTTGAGAAACAGAGGCCTAAGCTGATTTCATTCAAGTATATATTGTATCTTTTACCCTGGTCAGCATTAACTTAGATGCTTTGAGGGATAACAGCAACTTGGCACTGATGGAAAACTCTGACCAAATCCTTGACTGAGGCAGAAACCTATTCTCTGTGTTCTGTTTATTCAGGGAGAGAAGAGCTCAGATGTGGCCTCAGGTTGGCTCGGGAGTTACGGCTTTGCCCAGGTTTGCAGCTGAAAACTCAGAAATATAAGGACCTCAAGCCATTTTCCCAAAGTCTCCCAGTGAGCGGTGGTGGCTTGACTGGGATTAAGGGCCCAGAGCCTTCCTTGTGGCCAGTTCGGCTCCCTGACCACTAGACCACACAGTCCGTGTTTAACGTGTACTCAGCAAACCTCAAGCTCCAGGCCTTAAGAAACAGATTTTCCAAAAACAGAGCTCTCTTTGTGAACAATTCAGCAAAAATTCTCTTTCCAGCTGTGAGTTGGGATTCATGTTGTAAATGTTGGTGTTAATTAAAAACATCCACCTTATACAGTTCCAGCAACAAGGAAAAAGCACCGTGCAGGATGTGTTCCTAAGCACTCCTCTCCCAAGCACCTATAAATATGATTTTATTTATGACATGGGTTGCTGGGGGTTCTGACAGATATTAGCATTCCCAATTTTCAGCCCTAATGAAAGAGTTGAGGCCAAGGAGATGGATGAGGTGGGCCCAAATCGCCACAGAGCAAAGTCAATTTCAAAAGAAACAGGAATGCTATTCCTTCTCCAGGGCACCCATGAAGGGTGACTAACTTTCTTTGTTAATATCAGAAACTCTACCTAGCTGAAATCAAATGTTTTCCTGTTGAGTCATTAAAATTTTCCTCCATGTGGTTCTTAGTCCTCGGGACATGAACAAGTGAGGCATGACAAGGCCAGGGACATTCCATGGAGGAGGACACAATATATTTAACAACGAGGGTGTTGGATTACTTTTCTATAATCCTATCATAGTTCTCATTTCATTTAGGAATCTTTATCTTAAGTGGTCCTGATCTAGTGAGATCAGAAATACTGACTTTCTTCCCTTTTTGTGCTCGTCTCTGTTTGGTTAACTTGTCCTGCTTTAATACATATCCAGACAGGAAAGAATCAAGACAAAGCCACATCATTATGAATGAATTTCTTTGTTTTTAATTTCACACAGTTTAAAATACAATATGAAATCAGGCTACAGTATATAAAAAACTCTCCAGCAAAATGATGTGCCAGCATCAGCTACTAAAATAAACAAACAAAAAAACTCCCCTGTAAGAAATTTTTTTTTGCACTTAAAAAAAAAACACATAGACACTTATATCGCTACATCTCTAAGCTACCTCAGTTCTGATTTTTAAAAAGCACCTGCTTTTCCTCTTTTTTTCATCTTGCTTTTAAATTTTCAGCTTTTAAAAAATATAAATTATATGAAAATACAAGTTGGAAAATAGTCAAACACAAAATAACATCTTTTTCACCCCTATATTTCTCAGCTTAAAAAAAAGTATTCTTAAAAAAAAAAGTTCAATAACTGAGGCAGTATTCCTGATAGAGATAATTTCATTTTAATATATATATTTTATATATGTATATGTATACATATATTTATGGTTCCTTGAAACTTCTTTGGAATGTAGGTAAGAGTTCAACAAATTTATATAGACCCCAACAGAGAAAGCGACATGCACAGCATGACTAGAAGAGAAAGGTGTCTTTTTCACCATGAAGGTTAGGCAGGTTAATGCTCTAAAACCCAGAGTGTTCATCTCCAAAGTGAGGAAAAGCACATCTGATCTTTGAATGCTACCTCCAATCCCCATGGCCACAAAATCAGGGCTCGATGTAGGGAAGTCCCTCCTCTGAATGGAGAAAGGAACAAAAGTGACCCTGAACCCTACAGCCAAAACCAACACAGGTTAAGGCATCTTCAGGAAAATAAGGGTTTCACCCAGCTAGACCAGATTTGCCCATCCTTCCTCTGAAGTTAACATGTGTTTTTAAAAAGTATAAATGCAACAATTTTGCTACATTTCCAGTGTATAAACCACCCACCACTCTTCCTGGGATGGTCTCTGGCCTTCCAACAAAAGGAGAAAAAACATCTGGCCAGATCAACAAAGCTGTCTTAATTAATACACTAACTACAAATCCTGAAAACAGTGGACCTAGAGAGAAAGGGAATCTTAGCAAACAAGCAGGCTGAGGAGCACTAGGAGGCACTTTCTTATATCTTATCTGCTCTAGGAACTGCAGGAGTTAGATTCACAGAAGGGTTTTTCAACATAAACTTAATAGGAAAGGTCGATGATTTGAGAAAATGATTGTATTTATGCCTGGTTGCAAACAGCAAGCAGTAGCTGATAACCCGCCCTGGCTCTACACTTACCCATTACTGAAATGTGGAAAGACTTAGCTAGAAAACTCAGGTATTATTTCAGCTGCAGTTTTGCATGTCCACAAACACACACACGCACTCAAATACACACACCCTTTGCTAGTGCCCAACAAAGATCACATAATCTAAGAGAAAACAATGTAGTCCAAACAGTTCCACCTAACACTCCCTGAGCAGCTCCTAAAATATTTTGAGAGCTTCATTAAGGCACCTGCATCTGAAAGATCAAAATACACAGCTGGGGTAATTCCTCCTTTGCTTTCCATGTGAACACTCAAGAATCACAGAGCCATGTTCCTGACAACTCAGGGTCTACAGGAGGACCTGGGAGTGAACAATCGGCTTTCTTGAAGGTACACTAGAAGGTAGGTAGCACTCCCAGCTTCCCGGCTAAACCCCAAAAAGGACCAGCCCTGAGAAGCCCATCTCAAGTGATTCCTCCTTCTCTCATGGATATCTGTAATGCACCCCTCCTTGGTCATCCTTTTAACTGGGCATCTGTATGGTGGGAGGGATTCTAATTGTATTAGTCACTTTTTTCCACTAGTTAAATGTTGGTTTTCCCCCCCTAAACCCCATTTTCAGATCCCCCCCTCACAGCCGGCAGAAAGATGACTGCCTCTGTTGACTATGTTTGTGCTTAAACTTTGGGGGAACTAAAAACATATTCAAATCTCATGGACCACCTCATTTTCTTCACTCAAGTTCCTTCCCCTCTTTCCTTTGCCTTCGAGTCATTTCTTTCTTCTGCAATTGGCCTTCACTTACCGGGTGCCAAGACCCAAGCAAGAGGCCCCCACACCTTCTGTACCATTCACTTTGCATATACAGTCTCAACAGACATCCTACCTGACTAGCTCACACTCTTCACAGGAAAGCTTGTGCTTCTCTTCCCACAGACAGCCCAGTCACATTTTGCTGAAATGCTCTCTTAATTTCCAACACTTCTAAAACCCAGCAAGTCTAAGCTCCTCGACTCGTATCATGTGTGAAGTTACTCTTTCACTCACCAATCAGAAAGCTGCACATTTTTCTCTACTGAATAACAGAGTGGAGGAAAAATGCAACAAATGTGGGATGCTGGGAAAATGAGACATAAAGGAGAAATTATAGAGTGTTACTTTGGAATGACATGCACGCAGGACTTATTTCTTAAGCCCCAAGGAGCAATGCCTGTGCACACAGCTTTTATTCCAAGTCATCTGTGTTACAAGCAGAGAACTAAGAAAGAACCAAGTCAGTCTTTCTCCTTCAATTTCCTTTCCATGACATCGACAATGCTCCTATGTTACTGTGGTCCAAAACCGGAGCTGCAAAATACATTCAGTTCAAAGACTTAATGCTTTTTAGCTCAACATTAAGTCCAAACCCCGAGATTCCACAGATAAGGGGTGTGATGATAACTTTTTAAAAGTAGTTGATGAAATTCACACACACAGTTCCCCTGTACACAAATCAGCACTGATTTTTCCTTCATATAAAAATCACATGAATTTGGGATCCCTGATCTCAGTGACAGCACTTTGCTTTTCCAATGGGGTCTATATAAACAGTTTTCTTTCACTATGACAGAATCCTCAGCCGGCAAACAAAAACAAACCTGCATGATACTGCAATACTGAGACCACCTTAGAGCTTAAGACGATTTTCAAGAAGAAAGAAAAAAATACTGGCACAAAATTTAATAAAATAAATTTTAAGACAAAAACAGTTTTGGTCCCTCCCCACGAAGTCCATCGTTGTTTCAAAAGCAGAGTGAAAGGTAAATAGTTCTGTTTTTTGTGCATTCCCCAAATAAAATGTTTTGTCCCACTCCTTTCTTTTTTTGCCTTCCCAGATCTAAAAACAAAAGGAAACTAATTGCCTTTCATCAGTCTCTTGACTCCTGATGTGACAATTTCTCTTGCTAATGGGTCCATAACACAAGACACGTTTTTCCATGGACGATTTAAACAAATGATTGGACATGTCCATCTCTTCCTCCCTTGAGCCAGATCCTTCAAGCTTCTAAGAAGACCCTCCTCTCCCTCCTGAAAATTTACTCAAGAATTTCTGGTCCCACCCACCCACAAGACCTGGCTTTCCATTTCCAACCGCGCACAATCGATTACAGCTGCACCTCACTTAGCTCCCACCCCTGAATGTAAAAAATGAGTTCTGGAAAATAAAAAATAGAATAACAATTAAAAATCAAGAGTCCGACCAATGCGGTTGTTCTTTGAAAGGTCTCAGCAGGGTTCCCCGGCCCCTTCTGTGTCCGTCACTCGTCAGCGTCCGGCTTGACATCCAGCATGGCGTGGAGCTCCTCAGGGGTGTAGCCCAGCAGGCTCTGCAGGTCGCACACGAAGCGGTACACGTAGCGTTTACCTGCTGTCTTGTGGATGATGTTTTTGTCATAATAGTAGCGTAGGCCACGGCTCAGTTTCTCGTAATTCATCTTAGGTTTGTTTTTCCTCTTTCCCCATCTCCTGGCCACCTGAAATTTAAAAAATAAATAAAAGGAGGAGTGAGTAAAAATCTATAGGATAACCCAAAAATGCATGTTTATATGCCTAAACCCATTGATGGCAACCTATGATGCTCCAGTAAGTAGAGATTCACATACACCTAGGAGATATTTTTCTGACCTCTCTCTTCTGAATTCCATTCTACAAGGGCTTGGCAGTGAGAGTAGCCAAGTTGACTCTTTACACTGATGAAAACGCAGTGACCCTAAACTTCTACAAAATGGGGATAACGTATTTGCTTTGGGGGGAAAAAAAAAGGCGGATGTACGGTACAGCAGAACAATCGGCTTTCTTGAAGGTACACTAGAAGGTAGGTAGCACTCCCAGCTTCCCGGCTAAACCCCAAAAAGGACCAGCCCTGAGAAGCCCATCTCAAGTGATTCCTCCTTCTCTCATGGATATCTGTAATGCACCCCTCCTTGGTCATCCTTTTAACTGGGCATCTGTATGGTGGGAGGGATTCTAATTGTATTAGTCACTTTTTTCCACTAGTTAAATGTTGGTTTTCCCCCCCTAATACGAATCTTTCCATGAGCTTGAAATACCCTCCCATAGACTCTCCTCTTTCCCATATCATTAGTAGAATTCTTGCTTTGAAAGTGTGAAATCTACCGGGAGATGGGGAGGGGAGGAGCTGAGCAGGAATCCTACCTGCCTTTCACCAACAGGAAGCATTTTTTCTGTACCGGGGCACAAATATTTTCTCAAGTCTGCCAGAACAGAGACATTGTCTCTCTTGTTCATTGTTTTTTATCCTCAGAATTGGGCATGGCCCAGAACAACCACTTAATAAGCATTTTTATGTACTGAAGGAATGAATGAATGAACAGACTGTACCAGTCTTCCAAGGCCTCTTGAGCTGTCTGGCCCCTTTCACATTCAAAGAGCCACAGGGGAAGGGGGAGGACTAAGTCAGAGAAGGCGACTCTGGGGAGGAAAGGCCTCCTAGGTGCCAGGCACTTTATGTGCATCCTATCAGTTAATTTTGGAAAACAAATGGGCAGCATAGATATTTTCTCTAAGTGACGAAACTAAGGCTGAGACAGGCTGCATAGCTTGCTCAAGGTCACACAAGTAGCAAGTGGCAGAGCTAGGATTCTATTACTAGAAAATGCCATCCAAGCCCATAACTGACTTCCAGGGCTTTCCCTCCTGCCTCCCCCAACACAGCATTCTCAAGTCACCCCTTCCTTACCTCGTCTGGGTCGGAAAGCTTGAATTCCCAGCCATCTCCTGTCCAGCTGATAAAAGACTGACAGGATTTATCAGTGAGTAATTCCAGAAGAAACTGCCACAGCTGGATGGGTCCACTGCCTGGAAAGAAGCCATTGTGAATCATTACACCAGACACTCAGCGCCCCCAGCAACTCACCCCATTGCAGCAGCCTTCCTCCCCATCTCTCAGCCCAGCCAGCCAGGAGAGAACAGAGGCAACATATGTGCAAATGCTGAAAATGCTATGAGCTCAGATAGAAAAGGTAAAGGACTTCCAACCAAAAAAAAAGCATGGAAGATAACATATCAATTGCCTTATTTTGATTGACTTAAGGGTCAGTCCATTTTTATTGCTAAGCAAACTCTACAAAAAAAATACTGGGTCTATCTTCTGAGGTATTCTAAGGCAGCTTAATCTTTTCTGCCTCCAAAAACTTAGTCATTATTTTTGTCTTAAGAAGTAAGAAAGGTATTGACTAAGGAATGCCTTTGTCATTTCCAAGCAGAAGTCAAAGCTCATAAACTTTGGCTCTGTAGTAGGGAGGCTTTGGCTCCTGATTTGACCCAAAAGGATCACTATCCTTGGGTCCTCTCACAAAGAAACAGGTGTTGGATGCCCTTTCAGTTGTAATATTCATCTCCACCACCACCTCGCCCTCCCAGGCCACTTACAGACAAGCACCCAAACTAAGAAAAGAAAGCATCGTCATCACTCCTTGAGGAATTCACTTGCCACCCAGGAAATCCTCAGAGGTCCAATGAGGACAGTCTCAGAAATTCTTCATGGGTTCAGTATATTCTAACTTCCATACACACGTGCACATCCATACGCTAGACATACTCTTGTCTTAGCCATCAACACTGCCAAGACCTTAGCTCTAGAAAGCCTGGTTTATTCTGACAGTCCATTTACCCCGTGCTCAAGAATGTATGCCATACAGATTTCCTTTTAGGATAGCTTTCTACTCTGAAACGGCAATGCTGCCAGTGATTCCTATCTAATTAGTGGGTGCAGCAGGAGAGACAAGCACCGGTCCAGCCAGCATGCTGCTTGTTACATGTCCACACTGCTTATAACTCCATCTCAGAAACTAACTGGGCAGAGCGGGACAGGGAAAGACCGAGTTCGTGTACATGAATGAAGCCCAGGATGCTCTATCTCATGCAGGAGAAGAATATGACTTTCTAAGGCTCCAATCGTTACCTTGAGTTTCAAATTTGTCTGAACCAAAGTAAACTGAGATTCAACAGGAAATAAAATTTAGATTTCCTCTCACTCTAAAAAAGACATATCCTTTATGATCTAAAGGGCTAGTCTCTTGTTATAACTTATATTTCTACAAGGCATGTTCACACAAACCATTTTACTTACTCCCATAATCTACTCTCTGCTGTAGGCTAGGCACACATGCTCAGACTGTGTCCGACCTACCAGTGTGAAAAAAAGGTGCTCAGAAAGGTGATGTGATTTGGCTCCAAGGCTCATTTAGCAAATAAATGGTGGAGCTGGGTCTAGAGCCCGGGCCTTTAGACTCCACGCACCAGGGCACCTCCACTGAGGCCATGTGAACAATCGGCAGTGGCACGCACTGTCATCGCACAGCCACACGAGCCTTCCTTCAGCAGCAACTTCCTAATGGTGGTTTCCAGAGCTCCCCTGCAGCACACCTTAAGCTAAATATAGAAAATAAAATATCTCCACCTCATCTTTCTGAGAATGCACCTTTAGTTCTTTGAAACCATCTTGCAAGAAATACCTTACATATATTCCAAAATAAAATGATTCAGTGAATGCCTACAAAATGAATTAACAATTGAAGAAAGAGCCCAGAGAGCTACACTGGTAAAACCTTAACTTCCTCTGTTTCTACTCCTTGTTGAAAACCATTTAGCATACAACTTAGATACATTTGCATGTTCCTTGGGAGATAAGTAAAGTCACCAGCTACTACTCCCTGCCTGGGCTCACAAAACTAAACATGACATTATACGAGGAATCCATTGAGAAGCCATCCTAATGGGCAAGAGGTAAAAAGCAAATCTCGCCGAGGAAATGCAGCCACAAGAGCCCTTGTGACACCATAGGATTCCTGAAGAAGTTCACCAATGACTGTAGACAACCAATAGGATCCCTGAAGAGGGACATAAAAGAAAAAATAACTACCCAAAGCTATGCACAGGCCTCTCTTGTGTCAAGACTACAGACCATGGACATGGCGGGGTGGTGGTGAGGGGGGAATTGCTTTAATACCCCTGACCGAGAAAAAAAATCTTACAAGAGCTGTGATTTACTAAGCACCTACTGTGCACCAGACATGGTAAGGGATGTTTTACAGTCATCTCGTTTATTCCTCACAATAACTCTGTGGGGTGGATGTTATTGTTTCCACCACTTTATAGCAGAGACACTGTCACCCTGTGAGGCTATCTAACCTCTGCAACTCTGTGCAGATCAGAGGTGGGGCAGCTGTTACTGGAACTCAGGCACAGATTCCTTGTGTTAACACTACACTGCCCCTAGACAAACCCATCCAAGGCCACCAGATTCCTGATGTCAACACTACACTGCCCCTAGACAAGCCTGCCCAAGGCCTGGCACCTACACCACCTGCCTGGTTGCCGTGACCCAAGGGATAAAAGACCTGGTTCTAAAAAGTCACCTTCTCTTCCCCACTTCTCATGGTGCTATAGGACACTGGATGGCCAGTGGTCCCCCCACCACCAGTGGGCATGCCGCCCCCACCCTCTGTGTCCACCTGCACAGGTGATATTTCCCGCCTGACAAGTCAGGTCCCCTTGGGTAGCTGTTACATTACTTCATTATTTCTCCCTTTCACTATTTACCTTAGACATTCTCTCACATCATTAATCTTCAAATCTCTTTGGGGAAAAGGGGCTAATTTTACCAAGCTGTGGAAAGGGATGGAAAGACTGGGATCCTTCTGCCAGGTAAGGCCTAGCCACTGACAGGGAGCAGAGCATACATGTGCAGGTCCCTGGAACAAGACGCAAGACCACACCCCAGTCTCCTAGAGACTTGGCAGCCATGAAGTAGAGAAGGGACTTCAATTCACTTCAATTCACGTCCTTGGTACCAGCTCAGAGATGGAGGACCTTAGACGGAATGAGTTTCGCTGTTTTTTCTGCCATCCCGAACGGAAACATCAAACAGTCACAGGCCATACATGTAAGCCCCGCTCCAGCCCTTCCTCTGTGTATATAGCCAGGGACAGGGGGAGTCCTTGCCTGAGGATTTCCTCATTGAGAGTTTTCCTTTGTTCAAAAGGAATTCAAAAATGTTAAATTCAGGCACTGGGAACCCAGGTCTTAGGTGTAGGGCACTGGGAACCCAGGTCTTAGGTACAGTACTCTCTAACTCTTTTTTTCTATCTACACCAAAGGGAAGGGGGCCGGGGGTGCAGATGCCTAAGAAAAGCAAAGGCACTTGAATGGGAAGAAAGGTTTCTGGTTAGCTTTGGTGTCACAATAGGCAAGTCAACATAATGGTGATGTCAGCTCTAGTCTCCTTCCCTAAGTCTCAGGGAGCATACAGGATGCTCGCTGTTCAGAAAGCCCACGTTGTACCAAATGAGAGGAATCCATTACCCTCCTGAAGCTTCCTGTCTAGTTAGGAAAGACATAGGGTTGTTCCCTCAGCCAGAAATGCTGGGCCAGGGCAAGAATACTGGCTTCAGGGTGGGCTGGGTCACCGGCTGCACTAGTGAACGGTCTAACACCAAGCCTGTTTCCACAGCAATGCATCACCCTCCCTTCAGGTCTGGGAGGGAAAATCAGGGCCACTTGGAAACCTATGGCTTCGAGGCAGCTCCAGGGTTGAAATGCCACTTGCTACATGGACCTGCCAGCCACAGCCAAGTCTAGGCCTGTTGGAAGTTCTCATGCTCCAGACAATGAACGGATCTAGCGCTGCAGTTACAACTCTTGCAGAGGACGGTTCTGCTGCCCACATCCACAGGGCTTCAGGACTCCATCCTTAGCCCTTGCTCCAACATACGCTAAAATTGTAAAGCCTCCTCCTCCGCTCTCCCTGCACCTCCCCCTCACCCCGGGCCCGGCTCCATTCACCTACCCAAATGGATTGTGGTCCCAGTGACCTCTGTCCCTGGGAGCAGAGAACGGTGCTAAGAATAGCGCCAGTCATGGGAAGGGGGAGCTCACATGTTAAATGTGACTCACAATGGTGTCCCTGTCTGGGGGCCCCACGGCAGTCAACAGTGCCCTTCAGCATGCTGCCCTGCAGTGTCACTCATCAGGAATCCAGTGGCATCACTGGGAAACTATGCTCTCCAGGCGAAGCTCGGAGCCACAATAACAGAGGGTCCCTGTTAGAGTGGAGGTCTCGGGCACCACACACATACTCGCACGCCAGCCCGGCCCGAGCCCCAGCCCTGTGGCCGCAGCGGGGAATTTCCTCTGACCGCTTTGTTCTTCACAGCTTCTGGGTGAGAGGAAAATTCTGCTACAATGCTGACTGCCCTGACTGGAAGAACAGGACACAGCCTCAGGAGAAGCCATGGCAGCTGAGTACCTGGAGGGGTCCCAGGCCACCACAGCACATCCACTGAGGGGACCCTGGAGGGATCTCAAATCTAAGGCAACAATCTCTTTCTTTTTTTAAAAGTAAAGCCTGAAGTAAATTCCTGCTCATTTTGGTCATATTTTAAGTCCCTTCTCCTTGTCCAGGACCTGTAAGGCGCGCTGTCTATCTCGGTGAGGGCTGGCTACTTCATCCCTTGCTTTTTTTAGTCCCTCACCCTGAGGCCAAGAACTGAGCAGCTTAAATATACACCAGTGGGCTAGGGTGAAATTCCACTAAGATGTTCTTGATGATAATCCTTTCCAATCACCAGTTTGTCAGGATCTTTGCTCTCATTTTCCAGGTTTGGGAGCTACCTGCCCACGGTAGTGGCCTCCTCACGGCAGTGGCCTCCTCACGGCAGTGAGCAGGGCTGGTGTCGGACTGCACTTTTTCCTCAACTCCTTCCTTATGTCCATTTCAACCACAAGTTCCCACTGTGTCATCTTTGCTCCAGTGAGAGGCTAACAGAGAAGAGGTGACTCCCATTCAGGTGGAGGTC